TAAGATATTTTCATACTTGAGTGTACCATCTTATTAATCAATCATACACATAAATAGAGATCATGATATAAAAATTTATAGAGATAAATTTGGTGTACCACATATTTAAGCTCACTCATTATCGGATGCTCTATATGCCTAAGGATTTGTTTAAGCTTAAGATAGATTATGGTAATTACACATTAGAAAAATGGCATCTTAAGGCAGATTATCTGAAATATTTGGAGAACGTACTTTGAAAGTTGATTAATATTTTAGAAGTTTAGATTATTTGGATTCAGCAAGAAGAATAGTTAATTAATTGAGTAGTGAAGGTCAATAGTTATTTTAAGCCTTTGTTGATGGAATTAATTAAGGAAGAAATTCTTTTACACTTTTACCTATAGAATTCTAATTGACTCGTTCAAATTTTATTGAATGGGAAATATATGATATGATATGTTTTATTAAATTTATGGCTTTAACAACTATGAATGATTTTCATTTTGAAATGATGAGATCTTCTATAAAAGAATTTGATTTAGAAACAATTAAATATTTAACTGGTATAGGACCAGATAATTTATTTGATATTGATACTACTACAATAAATTAATAGGAATTAAAAGAATAAACTCATTTATATAGTGATGAATTTTACAATATAAAATCACCATCAAATATTTAAGTTGCTGATCTTATGTAATCCTATAAATATTTAATTGATAATGTTATTCCTTTAAGTATTGGAAGTAATAGTTGGGCAGTACATGGAAATTTTACTAATACAGGTTATCCATTTTTAGCATCAGATCCACACTTAGAAAATGGATTGCCATCTTAATGGTATTAAAGTACAACAACTTTCCCTAATGGAGAATTCATAGCTGGAGGAGCTGTTGTAGGTTTACCTTATATATTATCAGGTAGAACAAAGAGTTTAGCATGGGGAATCACTATTTCATATGCTGATGTTAGTGATTTATATGAAGAATAATTAAAAGAAATTGATGGGAAAATGCATTATTTATTCTAAGAAAAATGGTATCCCACCAAAGAGAAAGTTGAACTCATCCGTTATGATGATAAAATATATGAAATGAAAATTCATAGAACACATCATGGACCTATCTTAAATTTCTATTTTGATGATAGAGGAACAAAAACTATCAAATAATTAGAAAAGACTTATTCTTTAAGATCATTAATAGATATCGATGATAATTATGGACCAGAGTATTTTCAATAAATTATAATATTAGAGCTATGATACGTTTTATATAAGGGACAGATCTAAGTGAATAATTAAAGCTTCTTAAAAAGGTTGTGTACCCTGGTTTAGGAATGATCTTTGCTTCATAAAAAGATATAGCTTATATGATTGTTGGAAAATAAGTGATAAAATCAGGACATCCTGATGATTATGGTTTTATAAAAAAAGGATGGAATGGAGAAACAGAATGGTTAGGTTTTATTCCTGAAAATGAACATCCAATTATAATAAATCCTCCTAAAGGATTTGTTGCTACTGCTAACAATAGATTTTTCCCTAAAAATGAAAAATATCATACTAATTGGAATATCAATCCTACTGGTAGAGCTCATAGGATTTATTAAGTTTTATCTGAAATTGTACCAAATAAGGTTAATTATGAATAAATGAAATAATTATAATTAGATACAGTTGATAGTTATGCAAAATAAAGTTGGATATTTTTAAAAAAGTTGATACAATCTGAATATTTTAAAGAATAAATGAACTCTTGGGATTTCAATTTAACTATATAATCAAAATAAGCTACTCTTTATATGTTATTTGAACATTATTATTCTTAAAGTTTTACAAATTTACCTCCTAGATGGTCATAAACTTATAATTTTGATTCTTTCTTTTTCTTAGAATTAACAAGATTTAAAGAAAATGGAAAATGGTGTCTTCCTTATACTTGTTCATAACTTTTAAATTAGGCAGTTGATAAAGCTGTTGAACATTTCAAATAATTACCAAAATAAGAATGGGGAAACAATCATAAAAAATTTTAAGGACATTTTACCTTTAAAGATAAATTTTTAGGTATTTTTGATAGAGAAATACCATTTGGTGGAAATCGAAGGTTATTTTATAAATAAATATTCTAGAACCCCATCTGTATCTACATTAGATATATCTTAAGTACCATTTAGAGGTTTAGCAGGTGCAAATTATAGAATGCTTGTATCAATGGCACCTGGTGATGTTGGATAATTTATTGTAGATGGTGGTGTAAGTGGAAATCCTTTGTCAGAACATTATGATAATCAATTATCATTATATGCAGAAGGGAAATATATATCAATGTATCAGAAATAATTTGAAAAATTAACCTTGCTCAAGAAAATTGAATAAAGTGAAGATCTATGAAATTTATTTGTAAAAAAATATAATTTAATATTCATAAAGAACTTTTATTGAATATTTTTATCTATTTTATCATAAAATAAATTATTATTTATGCTCTAATATATAATTCGCTTTTCTTTTAGTAAATTTGTTCCATCAAAAGTTACATGTTGGAATTGTAAATCAAATGAGTTTATAAACAGATTTATTTGTGGTTAATGCAAATATTTAAAAGAGCCTTCTCTTTAATTAGGAGATGTTAATTACTTTTAGCTTTTTGATTTACCAATTCAAATTAATATAGAAACCAAATATTTAGAAGATAAATATAGATAATTACAATTAAAATTTCATCCTGATCGATTTGTGACTATGCCTTCAATCAATATTTCATATAGTTAAGAATATTCTGCCTTTATCAATGAAGCTTACTCTGTATTGAAAAATATTCATGAAAGAGCAGAATATATTGTATATAAAATAAATATAATTTAGTTGTCTTTAAAGGGATTTTAAATTAAAGAGTGTAGTGTTTTATTAGATCTAGAGTTTATGGAAGAAATTTTAGAATTATAATCTTAAGTGCAAAAATAACAAAATATATCTGAAATTAATAAAAAGAATAATTTAGAAATTGAAAAAATGACATAATAAATAATTTAAGATATCTCAAATGAGCAATATGAAAAAGCATACTAAATCATACTTTATTTAAAATATAGATAAAGATTAAGGGATTAGATTTCAATACATATCTGATATTTATGCTCGTTTATAAAATCAATATGATAATAGTAATTCTCTAAATTTATGATTAATTTTTACTCAAATTAAATTATTTTTTTAATTATTAAGAAAACTTAAGAATTACTCATAAATATTAAGTTTTATGATTAATAAATATTATTATTATCATTTTTATATTAAATTCAGAAAATTCTTAGTTATTATTTTATTCATCTTAACTAACCATCTTACATTTCAAAAATTAAATCAATTTTTCTACAAATTCTTATTATTTAAAAATTAATACTTATATTATTTATTCCTTATTTTCATTTCAATTAAAATTTCTTAAAAATAATTTGTACTTTTCTAATGAAAAATTAGAATAAAATTATTATCCTCTTTTAATACTGAAGATAAAACAGTTTATTATTAATTAACTTATCATTAATAATTAATCATTAAGAGATTGATTATAGTTTACTTTGTAATGGCTAAGTAATATTAATAAAAATAATTATTATGAAAAAAATATTTCCTTCAAACACTTAAAATGGGATATTAATTGTAGATCCTGATCAAACTACTGTTCAAAGACTTCATTAATCCCAAACTTCTAAAGCAAATTTCTCTGTAGTCCCTAGTGAACCTGGATAATCATTATACGAGATTATTGAGAAGAACAAACTACAATATATAGAATATTATGGCTTATATACAGAATTAAGGCTAATGGAAAATATGGCTGGTTTTTATATATAAATAAATGATAGGTTTGAAATCGATGCCTGAAAAACTAAAATTACTTGAAAGCTTTTTTAATATGTTTGAGGAAATGATGTAATGCTTAAATACTATTCTAAATAACCTAATCTTGATTAACTTTACTTCTTAAGACTTTAAACAGATATACAATACTACTCCAGAAAATGTTGCTAATACTCTTTTTAAGGATATTAAGGTATAAACAAATATAATTCAAGACTCTTGAAGGTCTTCATTTAGAACTATAATATTAATCATCATTAAGATATTTGGAGACCGTACTTGAGGCACTTGATTTTAATCCAGATCAATCAAAAAAGTTATATTAATTGGATGTAAAACAATGGTCATCCTAATGTTATGCTCACTTAAACCAACACATCACTACCCGTAGTATGAAAGTTCGAGATAAAACGAGGTGTTGTTGCAAAGTATGAATTATTAGCTACATTCATATCTCTTTATTTAAAGTGAATGACTTCACTTATAAATTGTAACATCATAAACTTAAATAAATATTATCATTAAGTGTTTTAATAAATTCTTAATCTTTATTCTCAAATTCTAATCTTATCATTTTTATTTAATGAAGGAAAGTGTTCAAATTGAAATAATATTCCTAATTTATTTATAGCTTAAATGAATAGATTAAATTAAAGAGTAGGGATTTTAAGAATATTTTGTAAAAATCAAAATTATTAAATAAAAATAAACACTAAAATTTATATTAGGTTTATAGTTATCAAAATCTTATGCATAAGAACCTTTACATTTAAATTAAGAAGCAATAAACTTATTTATTTATTTAAGATTCTATGATTATAAATCAAGTGAAGATTCAATAGAATGTCTACATTTGAATTTATGCTTGATAACAAATTTATCTCATAATCTTAATGGAATTCTATTATTTTTAATATTATTTATATTATATAATCTATTGAAGAAGAAGAATAAATAAAAATTTTCTATTATTTTCAGAAATCTTATTGATGTATAAATTTTGTCTAAATTATTTGTATTCTATATAGTTATGATTTTTGTTTTGTTTTGTAAATATAAAATAATAATACATTATTTTCAGTTTATTCTCTTCTTTTATTTTTAAGGTATAAGTAAAAAATGAAGGTTTAACATTATTTAATTTAACATGAACGATTTATTCAAAGAGATTGATGACACTAATTCAGATACTTCTATTATAGATTTCAATTTTGAATCTGATGATGAAGAAATTATACATAAAAATGATTAACCTATTTAAGAAATTTAAGATTAAGTAGAAATTGTTAATCAAGAAGAATAAATCATTTTAGAGAAAGGTTCATCAATTTAAGTTTAATAAAATTACTAAGAACAAAATACCTTTGAATTATAAGGAGAATAAAATGTGATTTCTTTACCAGTATAACATAATCATTTAAAGCCAAAACTAATAAAATACAAATAACCTAGAGAATGTAATTTACAATAAGGTTTTCAAATTTTAAAGACATTTGGATATTTTGCTCATACTTCATACAAAAATGTATAATAGAAGAAAGAACAAGCAATTTAAAAAATTACAAATTATATAATTTCAGGGGTTGAAAAGATAAAAAGATTATGATTTATTTTATATACTTAATGAATTCATTATTAATTTGGATCCATCTATATTCCTAAGTATAAATGCTTATCATTAGTTCTTAGTTATCTATGAAATAATTGAAAATCATCCTTATTATTATATTTAAACAAAATACTTTAGCACTGGCCCCTTCTCTTAAAACTTAAAATAGAATTAAGCCTGGTTCCTAGTAGTTCCCCTTATCTATAAAGTTAGGTCTTCTATGATCAACAAAATTATGATTTAAATCTGCAGTTGGAAAATATTTAATCCATTATTTGGTTTATTTATGAGTGCCCATACAATCATCAATATAATCTTATTGTTTTTGTTCTTCTTTCATTTGTTTCTTTTCATCTTCTTCTATAGCAAATTGTGGTCTTTAATCATGCTCAGACATCATATGTGGATTAGTTAATGGGTCAGGTTTAATTCTTGTCTATATTTATGAATTAAACTACTTTAAATAAGGCTTTCTTCTTATCTAATACTTCATCTCTAAATTTATGAGTTGAGGGAGGATTATAGAAATCTTATAATTTCTCTTTTTCTCTCTATTTTAAATTAGCCAATTTATTTTTTAATGTTTGAACATCTTCAGGTTTAAAGGTAGCATAAAATATAGGCTTATCTGGGTCTTAATCTTCATTATGTTATTTTTTGGTTTATTTTGGTTGAAAATACTTTTAATCAGATGTTTAAAAGCCTGTTTCAGATAATCCATGATAAGGTTTCTTCAATAAAACAGGTTAGGAGAGATATTTAGTAGCAGTTTAACCTAATTATTATGTTTAATTGTAATCTTGAAATTGTTTTTATGAATTCATTTTGTCTACTTTATAATTTAAGTTTTCTGGCATAAATTTAAATATAGGATTTCTACTAGATTTACATAGTTTGGGTTCTTTACTTAAACGTTCTGCTTCATTATAATAAGCTTATGTTTCAAATTTAAGTGTAGGATATTATTAATCATTATTATTGCTATTGAATAAATAAATGATAATACAATTTAGAATTAACTACTTTTTCAAATGGATAATCAGTACCTTGTTCTTTGATGATTCCATTATTAATTGGTTTAATCATTATTGTTTCTTATAGTAAAATTCCAGCTTCTGGTTATTGTTCAGGAAACTATCTTGGTTCTTATAATTCAGATGTATGAATAATTTGTGATTATGATGAATTCAATTTAGGTTTAAAAGGAAATGGTTCCATTTCATGCATGTCATGAACTTTACTTATTTTAACAGGTGGCAGATCATGATTTGTAGGTAATTTCTCACCTGCTGCTAATAACAATTAAATCCAATGATCTCTAAAAGGCCTTGATTTTTCAACCCATATATGATCTTAATTTAAAACATAATGAAGTTAAACTATTTAATATTCAAATAATAATACCAGCTCCTAATATTTCATCTATATTAATTGGTTCTTTTAGTTAATCTTTAAATGCTACTATTCTTTTACTAATTGCTTCATCAATCATGGCTTAGGCTAACTTAAAATAAAAAGAATTTTACTTCATCTTCAAAAAATAAATAATGCTTTTTGCTAAAAACTAATATATCATCCTTTTTAATCCATCCATCATTGTCTTAATCCATTTTTTCAATTAATCGCTAAATTGATATTCTTGGAATTTAAGTAGTTTTATGAATTAGTTTATCATATTTCTTTGGTACACTATATGATTTGTTTGAAGAGGAGAATTTTTATTGTAATCTTGACTATGGTATATCATCATATTGATCTTTAATATTTTCCATTATTATTATATTTAATAATGATATGAAAATGTGAAACTGATTCTAATAATAATCAATCTTTTAGAGGATCGAACTCATTTAAGCTCATACCAAGAGTTTCTAAATTTTTCACTGCTGTTTCCTAAGTATTATAATAATTATTAATTGTATGAAAAGAATTTGTATTTTTAAATCCATTTTCATAAACCAATGATAAATACTTACCTAAATGAAGTTAAAAATTCTCTATTTTAAAATCTAATTTATTTAAAATCTCATGATTATTAAATTCATTAATTAAATAATCTTCAATTATATTCATTGGAGCAGGTTGATCCAATTTTTTACACACTGTTAAATAAATCTCATTTAATTTTTATTGATTAAATTAACTAAAATTTATTGTATATTGAAATTTTTAAAGTATATTTTTATCTTATTAATCAAGACCTTTCAAATAGTCTTTAAATTAATTCAAAATAATTGAATCTTAAAAATGGCCCTAAAATCTTAATTCAGAAATTTTAGAAAAACTGTCTATTTTACTTGAATTTAGATATAAAGTTGGATACTTTTAAATCTCTTTTGTTGGTTATGTAACATATAAATAAAACATAAAATAAGCTCTTAGAAAAAAAGATAGAGTTACAATGAAATTTATTTCTTCTTCATAATATTATATTTTGACTATTAAAGAAGTAATTATAAACCACACCATATACAAAGCTAAAACATTAAGAGTAAGTTTATATAGTTTATCTTCTAAGTGATAAAAAATTATGTATGCCATTAAAATGATACAAAGTAATTCTTCAATAAAACTATTAATCATAATATATTTTTTGTTATTATGATAATTCTCTAACCAATTAGATAAATCACTCTAGGAATCAGTATAAGTAGTTATAAATGATAATAATGTAAATCCAATAAAAGAATATATATATCCAGATAACAATAATTTTTCTTCACTTGAATAAAATTTTGCCACCACACTTTTAGGATTCAATACATTTTTATTAAAAGCTACTGTTAATCTTGCTGTTTTCAAAAAGGCAAATGAAAAGCAACATCCTCTTGAAAAAGTATAAAAAAATGCTATAAATCCTTTACTAACAGGATTTTCGATTTTATAATCATTCCAGAACATACTGATTTCTATCAGCAATAAAAATTAACTAATTATAAGAAATATTCCTTAATGTATTGTTATTGTAGGTGATAATTGCTTAAGAGGATAATGGACCTAATTCTTGTAAAATTTTCTTAAATAAGCTAATTGGTAGATTGATCCGATACTCTAGATTACAAAGATTAAAATTAGTAATATTATGTTCATCTTAAATATTATTAATAAAAAATGATTATTATATAAAAGATTTCTTTTAGATTGAAATATAAACTAAGTTTCTTGAATAATTAATTTTAATAAATAAAACTACTTGATAATTATATAAATCATGATAAACTGAAATAATAATTATAAATAGATAGAGTCTAACAATAAAACAATGTAACAATTTAACTGTAATTATTATTTAATTTTAACGATGTATCAAAATTCAAATGCCTTTGTTAAAAAGCCTTGAACTTCTTTTTCATGAAGTTAATGGAATCCAGTAGCTGGCGATCCACTTGGTTTTCTACCGACATATTGAACTTATTATTGTAATAAGCCTGAGGTTTTTGAGATAACACTTTAAATTCTTGGCCTAACAAATGACCAAGGTCCATAATTTTGATGTTCTTCTTAAACCCAAACGAAATGAGCTTTCTTATACTTTTAGATAACAGCCTATAAGAATTCGTATGGGAAAGGTGCTAATTATTCAATTCTCACAATAGCAGTATTCTTAATAAGAACATTAGTTTACTTTAACTTTTAGATCCTCTCTTTTTTTAAGAATATCATAATAAACTTGTCCTGAACATAAGATAACTCTTTAGATCTCATTAGGTTAATTAATTTATTCAGGGAAAGGATCATCATAAATTTATGAGAATCTGGCTTATTCAGAAAATTCATTTAATTTAGATTTGGCAGCTTAGAGTCTTAAAAGTCTTTTGGAAGTCATAGCAATAAGAGGTTTTCTGAAATCTCTTCTTAACTATCTTCTTAAAGAATGGAAATAATTAGCAGGTGTAGTACATTAAACAATTTACATATTTGAATTTCTCATTTGTCTCTTAAGTCGAACTTGATACATAATTATAATAAATTACCTCCTAGATTTCTTTCAAAAACAGCAGGATCATCATCACTTAATTATAAAAATCTTTCAACTCTTCCTGAACTATGTTCTGGTCCTTATCCATCCATACCATTTGGTAATAACATAACTAATCCACTATCAACATCCCATTTAGATTCAGCACTTGCAATATAATTATCAATAATAATTTATGCTCCATTAGCAAAATCACCAAACTAAGCTTCCCAAAGTACTAATGTATTTGGATTAGTAATAGAATATCCATATTCAAATCCTAATACTCCATATTCTGATAAATGAGAATTATAAATGCTTAATCTATCTTCTTGACCTTTTGGTATAACTTTATGTAAAGGTACATAAGAAGGACCATTTGGATTTTTTTAATCATGAATAACAGCATGTCTATGAGAAAAGGTAGCTCTTTGAACATCCTCACCAGATAATCTGACATTAAATCCTTCATGAAGTAATGTTCCAAATGCTAGAGCTTCAGCTGTTGCAAAATCAACACCTTGATCCTTCTATATCCAATTGAGTCTTTCTTCATAAAACTTACGAATTTATGGATGAGCATTAAAATCAGATGGAATTGTATTTATTTTCTCTCCAATTTATTTCAAAATAGTTACTGGAACTCCAGTATCTTTTATTCTACCCCAAAGAGTTGGTACTTTTATCATTTCCCAAGATACTGGCTACCAATCTTTCAAATTATAGTCCATTTTTCTTGATTTTTGATATGCTACTTCTAGATTATCCTCATGTTTTTTCATCAATTAATCTACTTCTGTTTTTGTTACAATTCCTTAAGCAATCAATTTTTCAGCAAATTTAATAAAAACAGGTGGAGTTTTCTCAATCTTATCATACATTATAGGTTAAGTAAATTTAGGTTAATCTTATTCATTATGTCCATATCTTCTATAACCTACCAAATCAATAAAGATATCTCTTTTAAATTTAGTTCTATAAAGTGTTGCAACTTAAAATACTTTATCTACTAATTCAGGTTCATCAGCATTGACATGAATCACTGNTATAAGAATTCGTATGGGAAAGGTGCTAATTATTCAATTCTCACAATAGCAGTATTCTTAATAAGAACAATATTTTACTTTAACTTTTAGATCCTCTCTTTTTTTAAGAATATCATAATAAACTTGTCCTGAACATAAGATAACTCTTTAGATCTCATTAGGTTCATTAATTTATTCAGGGAAAGGATCATCATAAATTTATGAGAATCTGGCTTATTCAGAAAATTCATTTAATTTAGATTTGGCAGCTTAGAGTCTTAAAAGTCTTTTGGAAGTCATAGCAATAAGAGGTTTTCTGAAATCTCTTCTTAACTATCTTCTTAAAGAATGGAAATAATTAGCAGGTGTAGTACATTAAACAATTTACATATTTGAATTTCTCATTTGTCTCTTAAGTCGAACTTGATACATAATTATAATAAATTACCTCCTAGATTTCTTTCAAAAACAGCAGGATCATCATCACTTAATTATAAAAATCTTTCAACTCTTCCTGAACTATGTTCTGGTCCTTATCCATCCATACCATTTGGTAATAACATAACTAATCCACTATCAACATCCCATTTAGATTCAGCACTTGCAATATAATTATCAATAATAATTTATGCTCCATTAGCAAAATCACCAAACTAAGCTTCCCAAAGTACTAATGTATTTGGATTAGTAATAGAATATCCATATTCAAATCCTAATACTCCATATTCTGATAAATGAGAATTATAAATGCTTAATCTATCTTCTTGACCTTTTGGTATAACTTTATGTAAAGGTACATAAGAAGGACCATTTGGATTTTTTTAATCATGAATAACAGCATGTCTATGAGAAAAGGTAGCTCTTTGAACATCCTCACCAGATAATCTGACATTAAATCCTTCATGAAGTAATGTTCCAAATGCTAGAGCTTCAGCTGTTGCAAAATCAACACCTTGATCCTTCTATATCCAATTGAGTCTTTCTTCATAAAACTTACGAATTTATGGATGAGCATTAAAATCAGATGGAATTGTATTTATTTTCTCTCCAATTTATTTCAAAATAGTTACTGGAACTCCAGTATCTTTTATTCTACCCCAAAGAGTTGGTACTTTTATCATTTCCCAAGATACTGGCTACCAATCTTTCAAATTATAGTCCATTTTTCTTGATTTTTGATATGCTACTTCTAGATTATCCTCATGTTTTTTCATCAATTAATCTACTTCTGTTTTTGTTACAATTCCTTAAGCAATCAATTTTTCAGCAAATTTAATAAAAACAGGTGGAGTTTTCTCAATCTTATCATACATTATAGGTTAAGTAAATTTAGGTTAATCTTATTCATTATGTCCATATCTTCTATAACCTACCAAATCAATAAAGATATCTCTTTTAAATTTAGTTCTATAAAGTGTTGCAACTTAAAATACTTTATCTACTAATTCAGGTTCATCAGCATTGACATGAATCACTGGTGCTTAAATAGCATAAGCAATATCTGTGCAATNTATAAGAATTCGTATGGGAAAGGTGCTAATTATTCAATTCTCACAATAGCAGTATTCTTAATAAGAACAATATTTTACTTTAACTTTTAGATCCTCTCTTTTTTTAAGAATATCATAATAAACTTGTCCTGAACATAAGATAACTCTTTAGATCTCATTAGGTTCATTAATTTATTCAGGGAAAGGATCATCATAAATTTATGAGAATCTGGCTTATTCAGAAAATTCATTTAATTTAGATTTGGCAGCTTAGAGTCTTAAAAGTCTTTTGGAAGTCATAGCAATAAGAGGTTTTCTGAAATCTCTTCTTAACTATCTTCTTAAAGAATGGAAATAATTAGCAGGTGTAGTACATTAAACAATTTACATATTTGAATTTCTCATTTGTCTCTTAAGTCGAACTTGATACATAATTATAATAAATTACCTCCTAGATTTCTTTCAAAAACAGCAGGATCATCATCACTTAATTATAAAAATCTTTCAACTCTTCCTGAACTATGTTCTGGTCCTTATCCATCCATACCATTTGGTAATAACATAACTAATCCACTATCAACATCCCATTTAGATTCAGCACTTGCAATATAATTATCAATAATAATTTATGCTCCATTAGCAAAATCACCAAACTAAGCTTCCCAAAGTACTAATGTATTTGGATTAGTAATAGAATATCCATATTCAAATCCTAATACTCCATATTCTGATAAATGAGAATTATAAATGCTTAATCTATCTTCTTGACCTTTTGGTATAACTTTATGTAAAGGTACATAAGAAGGACCATTTGGATTTTTTTAATCATGAATAACAGCATGTCTATGAGAAAAGGTAGCTCTTTGAACATCCTCACCAGATAATCTGACATTAAATCCTTCATGAAGTAATGTTCCAAATGCTAGAGCTTCAGCTGTTGCAAAATCAACACCTTGATCCTTCTATATCCAATTGAGTCTTTCTTCATAAAACTTACGAATTTATGGATGAGCATTAAAATCAGATGGAATTGTATTTATTTTCTCTCCAATTTATTTCAAAATAGTTACTGGAACTCCAGTATCTTTTATTCTACCCCAAAGAGTTGGTACTTTTATCATTTCCCAAGATACTGGCTACCAATCTTTCAAATTATAGTCCATTTTTCTTGATTTTTGATATGCTACTTCTAGATTATCCTCATGTTTTTTCATCAATTAATCTACTTCTGTTTTTGTTACAATTCCTTAAGCAATCAATTTTTCAGCAAATTTAATAAAAACAGGTGGAGTTTTCTCAATCTTATCATACATTATAGGTTAAGTAAATTTAGGTTAATCTTATTCATTATGTCCATATCTTCTATAACCTACCAAATCAATAAAGATATCTCTTTTAAATTTAGTTCTATAAAGTGTTGCAACTTAAAATACTTTATCTACTAATTCAGGTTCATCAGCATTGACATGAATCACTGGTGCTTAAATAGCATAAGCAATATCTGTGCAATATAATCCTGATCTACTATCTTTAGGTACTGTAGTAAATCCAATTTAATTATTTGAAACTACATGAATTATACCACCTGATTTATATCCTTCTAAATCTGCCATTTGTAATGACTCATATACAATGCCTTAACCAGCAACTGCAGCATCTCCATGAATTAATACTCCAAATGCCTTATCTCCATTTTTATCTTTATGATAATCTTATATAGCTCTGACTTTTCCATAAACACAAGGATCTACAGTTTCTAAATGAGAAGGATTTGGTAGCATTTCTAATCTTAGTTTTTTTTCTCCAAATTTAACATTATGTACACTTCCCAAATGGTATTTTACATCCCCAGAATTTCCCCAAATATCTTCATTATATATTCCTTTCAAATCTTAAAATTCAACCATAATTTCTTCAGCTGATTTTTAAAATACATTATATAAAGTATTCAATCTTCCTCTATGAGCCATTCCAAATACTATATATTCTACTCCTGCTTATGCAGCACTATCAACCAAAGCTTATAATCCTGAAATCATTGAATCACATCCTTCAATACCAAATCTCTTTGAAGTATTAAATTTCTTTTGTAAAAATGTACTAAATGCATGTTCTTATCCAAGTCTAATCAATATAATATGTAATGCTATACCTTTCAAAAGTCTTCAATTTTTACTCTTTTGAAGGTAAAAATTCCTCAAACTTCTCAATTTATTCTCTAATCCAATTCCTTTCCTCTGTTGATTATATATGCATATATTCATAAGATATTTTACCACAATATGCTTTCTCTAAATAATTTATTAAATCTCTTAATTTCATTACTTCATAAATAATCAAATAATTACATTATTTTTCTTTAGATATACCTGAACTAACTTCATCATGAATATAAAATTCTCTGTCTAAGTCTTCTTCTGCAAAATATTCACGATAATCTAATTTTGTATAACCTTTGACTTTTCCTATTTGTTATATGTGTTCTAAATCAAGAGGATCAACCATTGATTTTTCGTGACCTCTATGTCTATATTTGTTGATTAATAATCTCACTCTAAAATGATCTGATAACAATTTTCTTACACTTGATACTTGCTTAGATATTATATATAACTATACATCTGCTTAAAATGAGATTGTCTAACCCTTCTAGGGTTCTGGTGTAAAATCAAATTTGTTAGATTCACATACTTATCTAAAATATGCATCCCAAGTTGCTGGTACAGAATTTGGGTCTTGAGACCATTTATCTAATAAATTGTCTAAAAATTCTGCATTCTAACCACCAAGAAAAGAGTTTCCAAATTTTTGTAATTCTGAAAAATTATAGCGATGCAGATTCTTTCCAATAAACCTTAACATATTATATTTAATAATTATTTTTGCTTAATACGCTATTTCCTTAAACATAATTTGATTAAATTAGACATAAAATTGATGATTTAATTTTAACAAAAAAATCGACAACGGCCAGATTCGAACTGACGCGGGGAACCCCAACAGATTTCTAGTCTGCCGCCTTAACCACTCGGCCACGTTGTCTATAACTAATACCTAAGTCAATCTCTTGCATAAATATGCTCATAGATTATATGCCATTTGACAATATACATTAAAATGTATTATCATAAATTAAAATTTTAGAAACTTTAAAATCTCTATCATAAACAAAATTCAAGTGTTTCTTTTCACATTTTCTATTCTAATCCATGAAACCAGTAAATTATATTTACTTATATTAACATTCTTTTCTTACCTAATTGAGTAAAATATTATTAATTATATTTGAAACAATAATTGAATCAATTTATTATAGCAATTTTATTAGAATCAATATACTAAATCATAATTATTATTGATAATTATATAAATTAATAATCTTATACTTTTGATCTTAAAAGCAATTTATGATATACATATTTCTAATTAAATAATTCAATCCTAATAATGAGTAATATAGAATAATTCGTAATTATTTATTCAAATCACAATTTTTAAATATAATTTATTTTGTGTACACCA